GCTGTCTGCAGTGGCCCCAGCCCAGTGCTGGAGTGCCGTCCAGTGTCCGCAGGTACAAGTGGTTGTGATGAGCCTGGGAGAAAACATGCATAGGTGATGCAGGCATGAGTGGTAGTGCTGCTGGTTGTGAGCTCAATGTTGATGAATCAACAATATTTATATGAGTGTGTGCATGTAAATATATGTTGAATAAGTGCCCTTAAACAGAAACACAGAAAACACAGAAAACAAGATTATGTATTGATCATGTGCCAGAAATGTGAGCAGAGCCTGGCAGGAACCCAGGTCGGTATTCCCCTAAAGCAATGGTCCTGGGCAGTGTCACAGTGAACATTGGCTGTCATTCTGTATATAGCAAAGTTACCTTGAAAATGAGCGTCAACTATAATTGACAGAAGAGTCACATCCAGAATACATAAAAAATTCCTACAAATCAACAAGAACAAGAAATTAGATGGAAAAATAGTCAAGGCATTTAACAGAGACTCACAAGAACTGTCTCATGCCTATAATCCTAGCACTCTGTGAGGCTGAGGCGGTTGGGTCACCTGAGCTCAGGAGTTCGAGACTAGCCTTAGCAAAAGCAAGACTCCATCTCTACTAAAAATAGGAAAAAATAGCTGGGGAATCTGGTGGGTACCTATAGTCCCAGCCAGAACAAGATCCTCTTGGGCTGAGACAAGAGGATCACTTGAGCCCAAAGAGTTTGAGGTTGCTGTGAAATATAACACCATGGCATTCTACCCCGGGGCAACTGAGTGATACTCTGTCAATTAAAAAAAAGAAAGAAAGAAAGAAAGAAAGAAAGAAAGAAAGAAAGAAAGAAAGAAAAAAGCTGCAAATGGCCGACAAATGTGTGACCAGCTGTAAGCCTACCTTTCCATCAGATGAGTCAAAACCACACTGAGATACCTCTGTACCCCTCCAAGAACGGCTGAAATTATGAGACTGTTAGAGTCCAGGGTGTGTAAAAATGTGCAGTAGAAGGAAGTTTCCTACATTTCTTTTTTTCTTTTTTGAGACAGAGTCTTACTCTGCCACACTGGGTAGAGTGTTGTGGTATCCTGAACCTCACAGAAACCTCAAACTCCTGGAATCAAGCTATCCTTGTGCCTCAGACTCCCGAAGTTTCCTACATTTCTGATGGAAGTATGAATTTTTATTTTTGTGTATATTTTTCAAAAAAATGTTTGGGATTATCTTCTAAAGGTGAACAAAGCATGTCCTGTGACCCAGTGGTTTACTCCAACAGACCTGTGGATATATGTGCATGTGTTGTCCAAACACTGGGACAAGAATATTTAGGAAGCATTATTTATAATAGCCAAAATCTGGCAATAATTCCCAAGTCCATCCACAATAGAATAAATAGGGTGGCGCCTGTGGCTCAAAGGAATAGGGCGCTGGCCCCATATGCCAGAGGTGATGAGTTCAAACCCAGCCCCGGCCAAAACTGCAAAAAAAAATAGAGAGAGTAAATAGGCCAGGTACAGTGACTCATAAATGTAGTCCCAGTACCCTGGGAGGCTGAGGTGGGAAGATCACCTGCATTTAGGAGTTCATAACCAGCTTGGACAATACAGAAAGACCCTAGCTCTAAAAAAAATAGAAAAATCAGCCAGGTGTGTCAGGTGCCTGTAGTCCCAGCCACTTGGGAGGCTGAGGCAGGAAGATCGCTTAACCCAGGAGTTTGCGGCTGCAGTGAGTTGTGATGATGCCATTGTACTCCAGCCTGGGAGAGAGAAAGACTCTGTCTCAAAACAAAACAAAACCAAAAAACAAACAAAAAGCCCCAATAGAATAAATAAACTATAGTATTTACCTATAACAAAATAGCAGCAATAGGTGTGCAGTTTGATTTGCAGCAGCAGTGGAAGAGACTGGTCCTTAGAGCTCAAAACAAAACGTCAAGTGAGAGAAGGCAGTGACCAAGTGCTGCATACTCTGCCCTCACATGTGCTGCTCAGCACAGGCTAGAAGAGTCCCCGTGTATGTGAGTTTCTGAGGGTTGTCATGACAGAGTACCCCAGAATGGGTGGCTTAAGCAGTAGTAATTCATAATCTTGAAGTTCTGGACTCTGGAAGTCCCAGGCCAAGGTGTGACAAGGGCTGGTCCCTCCTGAGGCTATGAGGGAGACTGTCCCAGGCTTTGCCAGCTCCTGAATTTGGAAAAGCCTCGCCTGGGCCTTTGCCTTCATCTCCACACTTGCTCTCATTGTGCACATCTGGGTCTAAATTTCCCCTTTTTATGTGAATACCATTATACTGGTTTAAGGCCCACCCTCAATATCTCATTTTAACTTGATCACTTCTGTAAAGATCCCATCTCCTGGCTCAGTGCCTGTAGCTTAGCAGCTAGGGCACTAGTCACATACACCAGAGCTAGCAAGTTCAAACCCAGCCTGGGCCTGCCAAACAACAATGACAATTACAACAGCAATAACAAAAAATAGCTGGCGTTGTGGTGGGCCCCTGTATTCCCAGCTACTTGGGAGGCTGAGGCAAGAGAATCACTTAAGCCCAAGAGTTTG